AAAGAAAAAGAAAACCACAATTTGGGTGAGTAGATATTTGGTCCCCTGAACTGTCCAGGTATGGACGGCCCTCCCATTGGACTGGGACAAGAGGCTGATCTTGAACAGCATACGCCCACCCCAGCCAGCCACCTGCCGGGGTCTCCTTCCCGATCCAGCCCATAGCAGGCAGGGGGCACTCACTGGAAGTAGTAGCCGGCAGATTCCAGGTAGGATGCAGGCTCGTTGGCCATAGACCACTTCACCACAGCATGGTGGTTCTTGTCCCTGCACACCAGTTCCTCCATCAGCCACGTGTGTTGATGCATAGACACAATTGAAGAGCTGCCTGCGGGCCAGGAGGAAAGGGACAGAGGGTCACAGTGCGGCCCATGGGCTGGGCAGGTGGAGCGGGGGCGTGGTGGGGACTCATGGCAGCACCAGGCCCACGGTGGGACACTACTCATTGATGACCACAATCCCATAGCAGTCACATATCTGCAGCACTTCCTCCACCTAGGGGTAGTGGCTGGTGTGGAAGGTGTTGGCACCAAGCCAGAGAAGCAGGCTGAAGTCTTTCACCAGCAGTGGCCAGTCGAAGCCCTTCCCTCGGATCTAGGAGACAGCAGAGCCAAATGACCCTTTCCCTGTCGAAGCTGCACTTCCTCCGAGAGCCAGGACCCTGGAGAGCCACCCCATGAGCCCCCTCTCCAGCCCAAGCACCGGCACCACCATGGGGCAGTTTGGAGCCATTTGCCTCATTGCCCTGAGCTGCCCTTAACTGCGGGACACAGGGAAGGCGAAAGTGGAAGGTGACCAGAAGCCCCCACGAAGACCCAGGGGCACAAATGCAGGTCTGCATCCTCGTGCTTGTTGATGCTGTGGAAATAGAAAGGTTTCCCATTGATGAGGAACTGGCTCTCAATAACAGCCACAGTGCAGATCTCCACAGGGAGTGTGTAGAAGTCAGACACAGGCCCCAGTGACGTCTGTGCAGTCAGCCGCACCTACGACAGCCAAAGCGCCAGGTGTGAGCACCCGACAGCCTGAGCCCCATCCGGCCCGCGCTCCGGCAGGAAAGCCCCTCGTGTACCCCAGCAGCTGCCTCAGGGCTGCAAGCAGAGAGATGCAGCAAACAGAGGCTCTGCCTTTCCCTGGCTGACCCTGGGACCTGTCCTTCAAATCCAAGCCTTCCCCTTGACCAGATGAGGTGGCTCATGCCTAGAGTTCCCATGCTTTGGGAGGCTAAGAGAGGAGGATCACTTCAGTCCAGGAGTTCAAGACCAGCTTGGCAACAGAGTAAGACCCCCATCTCTATTTAAAAAAAAAAAAAAAAATTCTTTTTTTTTTTTTTAAGACAGTCTCACTCTGTTACCAAGGCTGGAGTGCAGTGGCGTGATCTCAACTCACTGCAGCCTCTGCCTCCCAAGTTCAAGCAATTCTCCTGCCTCAGCCTCCTTAGTAGCTGGGATTACAGGTGTGCACCACTGTGCCCAGCAAATTTTCGTATTTTTAGTAGAGACAGGGTTTCACCATGTTGGCCAGCCTGCTTTCAAACTCCTGGCCTCAAGTGATCCACCCGCCTCGGCCTCCCAAAGTGCTGAGATTACAGGTGTCAGCCACCATGCCTGGCCTACAAAAAATTTTTTTATATTAGCCAGGCATAGTGGCATGTGCTTGTAGTCCCAACTACTCAGGAGGCCAAGGTAGGATTGCTGCAGTCTGGGAGCTCAAGGCTGCAGTGAGCTGTAATCAGGCCTTTGCACTCCAGCCTGGGTGACAGAGTGAGACCATCTCAAAACAAACAAACAAACAAAAACCTGGGCTTCCCACCAAGGGTGGGAAACATCAGAAAGCTCAGAGAAAAGCACCTGCCTGTTCACCTGTCCTGGGCTCCTGCTGAAGCCAGGGCCACCAAATGGGAGTAAAAGACCTCCCTTAAGCGAGTCCCAGCCATCATTACCTCCAACGAGTATAGATAGGTCGAGCATTCGTGCATCAAGTACGGCCACAAGAGGCTGGCAACTGGCACCTTCAGCTGGCCCTGGGTCCTCGCTTCATTGACCATGACTTTGTTTTCTGCATCCAAAAGACGCACTTCCAACTCGAACTGTTTACTGCACTTGACGGAGATCTGGTCATTCACTGGCCCTACAGGAGGCAAGAGAGACCAGAGCTGAGGGAGGGATATGACCTGGGCCACACAAACAGGAGTACCCCACAGCCACCACTCCCAGGCAGCCATTTGTTTCTGTTGCTTTTTTTTTAATATAAATTTTTTTTTTTTTTTTGAGACAGAGTCTCTCTCTGTCCCCCATGTTGGGAGTGCAGTGGTGTGATCTCGGCTCACTGCAACCTCCATCTCCAGGATTCAGGTGATTCTCCTGCCTCAGCCTTCCAAGTACCTGGGATTATAGGTGCGCACCACCATGCCTGGCTAATTTTGTATTTTTAGTAGAGATGGAGTTTTGCCATGTTGGCCAGGCTGGTCTCCAACACGTGACCTCAGGTGATCCTCCCACCTCAGCCTCCCAAATTGCTAGGATTACAGGTGTGAACCACCGTGTCTGGTGCCTTTTCTTTTAATTGAAAAAAAAATTTTTTTTGGCCAGGCGCAGTGGTCACACCTGTAATCCCAACACCTGGGGAGGCTGGGGTGGAAGGATCGCTTGAGCCCAAGAGTTCAAGACCAGCCTGGGTAACATAAGAAAAGCACTTCTTCCCTAAAAATACAAAAAATTAGCCAGGTGTGGTGGTGCATGCCTGCAGTCCCAGCAGCCCCAGAAGCCGCAGCTACTTGGGAGGCTGAAGTAGGAAGAATGCTTGAGACAGGAGTTCAGGGCTGCAGTGAGCTATGATCTTCAGGCAGGGTAGGTAGTGAAGGAAGGGACTATGTGCCAACCACGGCGCTGAGACATGTGTAAACAAGCAAGTACAGCTACTGCACATGTGCACCAAGAGGCTGACCCAGAACGTGCTTAGAGTAACACCTCTTCCCAGCTCCTTAAGAATTCATCAAGTAAGACCCTCAGAAAGGGAGTTTCGCCAGTAATAATCAGCGCCGTCTCATCCTTACGAGCAGCCTGCCCTGAATTCTTTCTCTCAGGGTGAACCGTGTATTTTACACTTCACTTTTTTTTTTTTTTTGAGAAGAGGTCTCGCTCTGTCACCCAGGCTGGAGTGCAGTGTTGCAATCTCAGCTCACTGCCACCTCCATATCCCGAGTTCAAGCAATTCTCCCATCTCAACCTCCCGAGTAGCTGGTATTACAGGAACACGCCACCATGCCCAGCTAATGTTGGCCAGGCTGGTTTGAAATCCTGAGCTCAAGTGATCCACCCGCCTCGGCCTCTGAACGTGCTAGGATTACAGGCATGAGCCACTGTGCCCAGGCTATTCTGTATTTAACTGTTGAAACACTTTTTCCATTGCAATAAATTGCTCTATGCTGCATCACCTTTGCTGTGACTTTTGTTTAAATTCTTATTTACTTATTTATTTCACTTATTTTTCTTGAGACAGGGTCTCACTATGTTGCCCAGGTGTATCTTGAACTTTCAGCTCAAGCGATTCGCCCACCTTGGCCTCCCAAAGTGCTTGTGGTGACAGGCATTAGCCACCACACCCAGCCTAAATTCTTTTTTTTTTTTTTCACTATACTTTAAGTTGTAGGGTATATGTGCACAACGTGCAGGTTACATATGTATACATGTGCCATGTTGGTGTGCTGCACCCATTAACTTGTCATTTACATTAGGCATATCTCCTAATGCTATCCCTCCCCCATCCCCACAATAGGCCCCGGTGTGTGATGTTCCCCTTCCTGTGTCCAAGTGATCTCATCATTCAATTCCCACCTATGAGTGAGAACATGAGGTGTTTGGTTTTCTGTTCTTGCGATAGTTTGCTGAGAATGATGGTTTCCAGTTGCATCTATGTCCCTACAAAGGACATGAACTCATCCTTTTTTATGGCTGCATAGTATTCCGTGGTGTATATGT